TTTCTTTATTCATTAATGGTAATCACAGCACACAGAGGGGACTCCCACATCACCTCACCTTTTCTGTTTAAATAATAAAAGAAGGTTTTAACTTTAACATAGTAAAATTACATATAACAAAACAGGTATCAAGCAAGAATTACAATTACAATATTTATGTCTACTTTATCTTTTATCCTAAGGAAAACTATAACTATAAATTCTTCAACTCCCATCAAAGACTCCAGAAGGATATAATATTACTTAAGTTAACAGGAAGTGCATTGTAAGCAACTTCCAAAACTCTAGAATTGACAGAGACATCTCGCTGCCTGGACAGGCACCCAAAGTTCTTCTATACCATTGGGGCATCCATCTTTAGCCTACAGGCCCATAGTATCCAGCAGACTTTTCCATGAAACAGGAAATTTCAAAGACAGTTCCCCCACTTTCTTCTGTATCCTAAAGAATGTTTAGCAGACTCTTTCATGAAGCAGGAACCCCGAAGGATCATTTCACCTTTAGACAAATTTAGCAGTCATTTCTCTGTGGGTTCTGCATGTCCAGATTTTGCAGCATACCATGAAGCAGTCCAGGCAAGAGCAGTTTCTTGCCCAAATGGCTAACCAACTCCATAAGGAGTCTTTTCAATGCCCATCATCCTCTTGAAGTTGATTGGTGCTGCCAGGGGCAGATATGTCTCACTGTCATGAAAAGTCCTAATTTCTTAAAATATTTAAATTCCATATTCTGAAGGTCTCGGAAAGATTTGAAGAATACCTATCTAACTGAAATATTTCTCCATACATTCAGAAAATCCAACTAACATGACTCCAAGCTTGACCATTATAGATGATTATCCATTAACTCATATTTCTTAATTATACATTACACTTTTAAATGACCTCCACAAACATAATACCTTAATCAAGATCAGAAATACATATACATATAACAAAATTGACCTTAAATTTGTATCAGTAAACCAAGATCCATATCAATGCAAATCTATATAGCAAATCCCCCTTTATATGTAAACAAACATTTATAAACAGTATTTGGGAATATGGGTGTAGTTTTTCTCCAAACTACTTCCTGCTGTTTATTGGGCAAAGTAATTTTCTTTGTGATTATTTTTGGGGTGTTCATGGCGACCTTTCAGGGGGCCTTGCTCCAAAAACCACATTAGTCTGGAAACACACAGACTTCTAATCTTCTGTGAAAACAAAAGAACCTTTTTTTCAAAACAACATTTCCTTAGACTCAAATTTTGAAATCAAGATACCCTTATGTTGGTTTAACTTAGCAGTCCATACAATGAAATGTCTCTCTTAACTCATTCATAGTCAAAAAATTCAAAGATAACACAATAACATACATAATCCAGATTCTCTGTCAACTTTCCTTTTTTTTTTTTTTTTTTTTTTTTTTTTTTGTTTTTCGAGACAGGGTTTCTTTGTGGCTTTGGAGCCTGTCCTGGAACTAGCTCTTGTAGACCAGGGTGGCCTAGAACTCACCGAGATCCACCTGCCTCTGTCTCCCGAGTGCTGGGATTAAAGGTGTGCGCCATACTGCCCGGCTTCAACTTTCCATTTTTATGTGCCTTATTCTTTGTTTACTTCTTTTAATCTATGACTGTCTGTACTCTCTTTAAAGACTTTTTTTAAACGATTTACTTCTTTTCCAACTCTCTATACTCTTTTTCTTCTCCCTCCCAAGCCTACGTACATTTATCCAATAGTTTGACCCATTTTTAGTTTTTTTTTAAAAATCCGGATTTGTCTTTATTGCATATCTGTAATTATTTTCTGACCAGAAGCACTTCTTAAATGCTTAAGAATCTGAGCTGCAACATTACTAGGTCAAATAAGGTACTGTTTGCTTGCTCTACACAGTTTGGCATGGTGGAGCTGCTCACCGCCTCTGAGAGACATGCACAGTGCTCCATCTCTAGGCACACAGCCAGTCCATGCTGCCATTAACCAAGCTGCAACAGTCTGCTCACAAATCCCCACTCAAGTGCTCCGCCTCCCAGATGGCTTGCTGGCAGCATAGCCCAGAAAGCTGGTATTTTAAAACGGCCATGGCTTTTTTCCTGCTACAGCTGAATCAGGAAAATCTCTCTTAAAGGAACTGCTGCAAGCCACCAGCAAACAGCAAGATGCTGTGTTAAACTCTGTAATTTTTTTTTTTTTGTCTAAAATTCCTTTTCAAGCCCTCTCAGGTTTTATGTGGATTTAGTAGGCCATGTGGGCACCAATTTGTTGCGGGGGAGCCGCTTGGTCACTCCCATCTGCCCAGATCCGAAAAAATCACACAGAAACTGTATTAATTAAATCACTACTTGGCCCATTAGCTCTGGCTTCTTATTGACTAATAACTCTTACATCTTAATTTAACCCATGTCTATTAATCTATGTCACCACGAGGTCATGGCTTACCAGCAAAGTTCCAGTTTCTTTATTCATTAATGGTAATCACAGCACACAGAGGGGACTCCCACATCAATCCTAGGGAAAGTTGTTAAGCTCAGGGAGTAGGTTCTCCACCCCAGTTAGTCTAACCAAGATAACCCCTCATGGGCATGGTCAAAAGCTTGTTGTTTTCAGTTGATTGAGGACTCAAGTTGACAGTTGAGGTTGACCACCAATAGTAACTGCTAGTGTTAGTCTAGTTCTTTGTACTGTGAAAGACTATAGACAACAGGGCAACCTGACAAGTTGTACAATACAATGTTTCCACAACAAGTGGAGGGAAAAAATCCCAATATTTTGGAGGCTTCTTTTAACGTGGTAGTGTTTTAAGAGAACTGAGAGCCAATTAAATTGCTTCTGGATACTACCTAAGGGATTTACAGGGGCCTCTTCTTCACTGACTTCTCCAGTTTTTATGCTAGCTGCACTGGGCTCTCTAGGACTAGACGTTAGTGAGCTGAGTACCTTAATCTCATACAGAAATTCACACAACACTTGCTAAGGAGCTATGTTGGGAAGCATTGGTCTAGGAGGTTTAAAGAGTGCAGAGTTGAGTAAGTTCTTTCCCTTGAGAAGTTTACAGTCCTAGGAGAGGATGTGACACAAGAGAACTTATGATTGAAGTGATGTCAGAAGGGGACAGCATCTACTCTGGAAGATGTTGACCAAGGTATGGGCTACCATCTTTGTAGGATGTTGTTTTGAGAAACAGTTATTGTCAGAGTACAACCTACAGAGTTAATAGGTCTGAGGATACTCAGATTTTATATTGTTAGTATAGAAATTACTAGTAGGCTTAAATATTTAAAGATTTTTATATTGCTTTGAGACAAGATTGGACTTCAGACTTGCTGTGCATCCAGGGATGACTTAGGAACTTCTGCTCTTCCTGCCAGCTCCTTCTAAAGTACTAGGCTTATAGGTATACACAACTGTACCAGGCAAAATATTTCGGGTTCTGATGGAGCAAGTGAGTTTTAATAAGGAAGTATTTTGACATTTTCTTTTAAAATAACTTACTAAGCCTTGAGCGTTTGTAATTGTTAATTTTTGTGAGGTCCCTACCAGTTCTCCCTCCTTGAAAGTAGCAGCATTCAGAGCCATTTTGGGGCAGTTAGACTGAGAACTGTGGGTGGGTGGTTCCACAGTGACTTCCTGGGACTGTGGTGAGCCAGCTACCTGACATCAGGAATGTGGGTAACTGTTAGCATGGGGCTGTGAACATAAACAGTGCAGCAGGAATTACACTGTGTGATAAATGGGCCAGCAAAATCTCTGTTCTCTATGAAGTTCCCTATTTCTCTCTGACTGCTGAGGAGAGTTATGTGGAGTGCTTACATATTAGTCAGTTGTTGTTTTGATTCATGTTCTGGGTATTTTGAAGCATTTTTCTCTTCTGGAATAATAAAATATTTTTATTAATTTTTAAAATGAATTTGACTGCAGTAGAATGGAAGAAAAAGGGCCAAAAAATTTAATTCCTATATGTTACTGGAGAATGCTGGCAGAGTACCAAGTTTTAGAAGAGACGACGTACCCTTTATTAACAGTATACTCTTTTTCTGTTTATACTTTCAAGGTACTTATTTAAAATTAAACATTATCTTGGCAATTTGATTCCTCAGGTAGAGTTTATAGTGTTAATATTTTGCTAGAAATTTAATTTTTCTTTAATTAAAAACTTAATGCTTTTTTTTAAATTTTTAAGCCATATTTATTTATTTATTTAGTTTTTTCGAGACATGGTTTCTCTATGTAGCAGCCCTGGCTGACATGGAACTCGCTTTGTAGTCCAGGCTGGCCTTGAACTCAGAAACCCACTTGCCTCTCCTCGTACCACCATACTTGGCTATTTATTTATTTGTATGTGTGTGCAGGCAAGTAAAATAAAAAAAAATATCAAGGTGAGCAAGGCATAGGGAAGAAAACAGTAAACAGCATTCTTCCATGGCCTTTACTTCACTTCCCACCTCCAGGCTCTGGTCTGACTTCCTCAGTAATGGGGTGTTACCTGAAAGTTGTAAGCTGAACTAAATTCCTTCCTTCCTCAAGTTGATTTTGGTTAGTATTTTTTCACAGCAACAGGCAAGCTATGACTCCTCCCTTTCCCCCAGTTTGCCTGGAATTGCTAACTTGCTATGTAGAACAAGCTGGCTTTAAACACATAGAGATCAGCTTGCCTTTGCCTCTTTAGAATTCAAGGTATGTGTGTTGGGACCAAACTTGGGTCCTCTGCATACATACATTTACATAAAAGTAAATGCTTTTAACCACTGAGCCATCTCCCCAGTTTCTTATTTATTTATTGTGTATGTTTTTTGCGCGCGCACACACATGTATGTATGTGTGTATGTATGTATGTATGTATGTATGTATGTATGTGTCATGGTACCCACGTGGAAGTCAGAGGATAACTTTTGGGAGCTGGCTTTGTCTTTCCATGTGAGTTCCAGGATTGAACTCAGGTTGCTAGGTTGGGTAGCAAGTATTCTTACCTATTCAGCCATCTCTAGCCTTATATAGAAATTTCTCTTGTTTGAATTCCAGATTCTGGGACCAGCTCTTGGATTTCTAAGGATCAGAATTTGCTGAGCATCCTCATTTGTTACCACTTTGGTTTCAGTCGTTATTCAAGCTCATTTGTCTGTTTCCTGTCTTCTGCCCTTGTCCTGTACCATCTGTTGCTGATACAGCAGGACTCCGGTAATAGGTGAGTTGCATCATGTTGCTCCTCTATTCAGAATCTGCTTCCCCATTAACTAATGTCACCACAGATGACATCTGCTATATCCAGTCTGTGTAGGGGTCTCCTTCATTAGGGTCTTTACACATGTTTTGCCTTCTGCTGGAATGTTCTTTATGTAGAGGTGAATGTGATTAGCTTTCTTGCTGCCTTGGGTCCCCCCGCCCCACGGAAATGATCTTAGTACAACTAAAATTTCACCCTTTTCCAATATTTCATATTACTTATTTATTTTGTGTACTATTTTTTCCCTTGCTAGACTATATTTTTCTCCTGTCTGTCTCTCTTTCTCTCTCTCTTTTTTGAGGCAGGGTTTCTATGTGTAAGCCTGTGTCTGCCTCTACCTCCTGAGTGCTGGGATTAAAGGCGTACACCACCACTCTCCAACTCTAGACTATATGTTTTTATAGGACAAAGTTTTGTCTGTGTTTTTTCCTGGTCTTCAGACTAGAGGATGGTCTGGCCTATTGTACTATTCAGTAAAGATTTGTTGAAAGTTTTTTTTATTTTTTTTTGTGTTGTATATGTATGTTTTAATAGCATGAAAACTATACAAATACTGATTTTGATGAACCGTTGTCTTAGTTTGCTTTTTGTTGCTGTCATAAAACATATGACCAAAAGCAAATTGGGAGGGAATGGTTTATCTGGCTAACAGGTTATACTCTATCATCAAGGGTGACGAAGGTAGGAACTAAAGGCAGTAAACTAAGAACCACCTATTAATCTTAAATATTTTATATTGGTATGACGTTTTATATATTGATACAAATTTAAGGTTATTTTTATTACTTAATATGTGTTCCTACTTTTGTTTAAGATATTTTTTGCATATTGATACAAATTTAAGGTAATTTTTGTTACGTAGACACACACACACACATTTCTACTTTTATTTAAGGTATTGTACCTATGCAGCTCATTTAAAACTATAATGTACATTTCTAGTCTTTGAAAGTTATTATTACAAACTATTTAGGATAATTAACAAATACAGGTTAGTAGTCATCTAACAATCGGATTTTGACCATGTTAGGTATGTTTTCAAGGCCAAGCACATATATTTTAGATAGACAGATGGTTTTCAAATATATCAGATATCTATAGAATATAGCATTCGAGATGTTTTAATAACCTAAGGCTTTTCATGACAGTAAGACCTGTCTGCTCCTCGCAGCGCTAATTTACTTTAAAAAAAAAAAGGATGATGGGCACGAACGAACTTCCATATGGCATTTGCTTTTATTGTGTCAGTGGCAGTGTTAGCCACTGGGAAAGAAACTGCCCTTGCCTTGACTGCTGACACTGTACTGTCCAAATTGGACAAGCAAGACACAAGAGAAAGAGACTGCTGAGCTTTGCCAAGAGAAGGTAGGACAGGTCTTCAAAAGTTCCTGCTTCACAAAAAAGTCTGTCAGATATTCTAGGATTGTAGGCCAAAGGAAGATGCCCAGTGTTGCAGAGGAACTTTGGGTGACTGTCCAGGAAACCAGCTGTTTTCGTTCTTCCTGTAGTTTTAGAAGTTGTTTGTTCTATACTATCTGCTTACTCAGGTAATATTATATTCTTCCTAGCTTGTTGGTAGGGTTAAAGACTAGATAGTTATAGTTAACATTTTCCTTGGTACTAAATTCAGAAAAAAAACTTATATAAGAGATGTAAAGTTTATAATGCTGAGAAACATAAAAGCTTAAGTTGTTTATCTAAAAAGATGTTTTTAGGTCTAGAAAGATATTTTTAGGATGGTTTTACAAGTTATGATATAAAATGGTTCAGGTACAAAGGTTGGAACTCATCAAGATAGGATAGATAATGCAATATTTTCTTTGAATTTGCCAATATTAAAGTACTAAACATTATGAATGTATTTCTTGTTGATAATTGTTTAATATATATGTATATAGTTTTACAGTGTTAGAGTTAAAACTTTCCCTTTTTATTTAGACAAAAAGTGGGATATATTGTGGGATATTTGTACACTGTGAAGATAATACAGTGTTACTGTGATTATTGTAATAAAAAGCTAATGGCCAGTAGCTAGGCAGAAGAGATGGGCAGGACTTCCAAGCAGAGAGAAGAGATAATTTAGGCATGCCAGGGATGCCAGTGTGACTTGGAAGAAGCAGGATGTGCAGGAGAAGAGGTAATAGCCATGGCAGGACATAGATTAATAGAAATGGGTTAATTCAAGTTAGATGAATTATTGGGAACAAGCCCAAGCTATAGGCTGAACCTTCATAATTAATAAGTCTCCATGTAATTATTTGCCAGTGAGCTGACAGCCCAAAGGAAAGTCCGACTATAAGGCAAACCCTGTAGGAACGTGGATTGTTTGCCTCCTCTGGCCTTTGAGTTATCTTTCTTACACATCTGCCTGGGGATAGCATTGCTCGTGGTGGACCTTCTTGTGTCAACTGGCAGTTAAGAAAACACCTTGTAGACACAGGCCAGTCTGATGAAGATAATTTCTCAGTTAATATTTCCTGTTCCCAGGTATGCCTAGGTTTGTGTCAAGTTGGCAAAAATTCGTCTCCGCAATATTAAGTTTACACATAGCCAGAAAACAGCTTCAGGTGCTTTGATCTAAAGGAGATAAGTAGTTTTAGGAACTTGTCAGAAAATGAAATGTTGAAGGAGTAGCGAGGAAAAGCTGTCTGTAACCTAGCTCTTACAAAGCCTGTTTCCACCAGTGCTATGGGAGCCTGTGCTTTCGCTCCTGCTACACTGCTGATGTGTCAGAATGACACAGTCTGAAGGGTGGGTGCGATGCTGAATACTAAAATTTATTATGTAGCTATGGTGGTCTAAATGAAAATGGCGCCCATAGACTCATAGGGAGTGGTGGTGGAGGTTTGTCCTTGTTGGAGGAAGTGTGTCATTGAGCTTAAGCCAGGCCTAGTGGTTCACTTTCTCTTCCTATTGCCTGTGGATCCAGGTGGAGAACTCTCAGATACCTCTCCAGCACTGTGTCTGCCTGCATACCACCTTGTTTCCTGGTGTGACAATAATAGACTAAACTTTTGAACAGTAAGCCAGCCCCAAATAAATGTTATCCTTTATAAAAGTTGCCATGGTCATGGTGTCTCATCACAACAATAAAACCCTAATACAGTCTCATATAGAAAATATTTAATTTCATATGTAGGAAAAGCTTAGTTATAGGATAGATTAAGCTGAGTGGACTGTGACACCAAATACTACCTATAGGGTAGTATCTTAGATAATGCCTAAAAGCATAAGAAAGCCAAGGACTCATCTTCGTTTAGTCCAGTCCCTTCTGTATGTCTGTGTCTTGACCACAAGCTGAGACAAGCCTCTAGAACTGGCAGCTAACTGGAAACAGGTCTTCACTGTGGTTATGATCTCAGTGTGATTAGTGCTTATCTCCTGTAGTTGAGTAAATCTGTGTTTAGGTCCAGTGATGTCCCAGATTACATGTTACTTTAGATATCAAACCATCCTCTCTTTAGAGCGTGGTTAGGGACCATTTGTCACAAGTCTGGGATGCTACAGGGTTGTGTGGCAGGTTTTTTGTTTGTTTGTTTGTTTGTTTGTTTTTTGTTTTTGTTTTTCAAGACAAGGTTTCTCTGTAGCTTTGGAGCCTGTCCAGGAACTAGCTCTTATAGATAACCAGGCTGGCTGTGAACTTGTAGAGATCCACCTGCCTCTCCTCCTGAGTGCTGGGATTAAAGGTGTGCACCACCACTGCTCGGCCCTGTGTGGCAGTTCTTATTTAATGCCCCCCACTCTGTCATTGCTAGCTCTTCACTACTCTACAACTTACTGCCAGGGTTGAGTTCTCTTGTCTTTTATTTTTTTACTTTATGACTAAGTACACTAAAATCTAGATGTATTTAATTGCCAGTCACATTTATTTGTGGTGCTCATCATGATTTATGATATGAATCTGTTTATTAACTAGTTTAAAAAGTTGGTGATTGCCAAATGATGTTGGCACACACCTTCAATCTCAACATTCAGGAGGTAGAGGCAGGTGGATCTCTGGTGTAGGAGGTCCTTCTGTTTATGTGTTGCTTTCATTGGTTGAATAAAAAAACTGCCTTGGCCTTTTGATAGGGCAGAACTTAGGCAGGCATGGAGAAGACAGAACTGAATGCTGGGAAGAAGGGCAGACAGGTAGACACCATGGAGCTCCTGCTGGTTAGAATCTTGCTGGTAAGCACAGTCATGTGGCAATACACAGATTTAATAGAAATAGGTTAAATCAAGATATAAGAGTTAGCCAATAAGAAGTTAGAGCTAATGGGCCAGGCAATGTTTAAATGAATACAGTTTCTGTGTGATTATTGAACAAAGGGCCCCTGCTCCATGTCACAGATCTCTGTGAGTTCAAGGCCAGTTTGGTCTACAGAGCAAGTTCCAGGATAGGCTCCAAAGCTACACAGCAAAACTCTTGTCCTGAAAAACCCAAAACTTAATTAATTAATGAAATAAAATAAAATAAAAAATTGGTGATGCCAACCTTTCTCTCGCTTTTTTATTATGAAATACAATTTATCCTGATCTCTTTAAAAGTATAGTTTAGTGAAATTAAATCCATCCACATTGTTTTGTAGCCATCATTGCTGTAACTCTTTGTTTTGTAACACTGGAAAGCCGTACATACCCATTAAATAGTAAGCTCATCCTGCCCTAGCTCAGGTCAACCACTTTTGTCGTCTGCCTCTCTGAAACTGCCTGATCTAGATACACATGTAAGCATTTGCAAAGTCATAGGTTACTTATTTATTATATATATTATATTTGTGACTGACTTATTTCATTAGCCCTCACAGTTTTATCTGTCCTATAGATCTGATGTTTAACACACATTCATGTGTCAAAATTTCTTTCTTTTTTAAGGGTGAATACTATTCCATAGTCTACTTTACTTTGCTAATCCATTTTGGATTATAGATTTTTCTTCTCTAAGTAGAGACAGAGTTAGTAGAATGCTAGCAGTTGGA